TCTGAAACAAATAATGCAATATATGTTAAGAAAAAAAGAAGAAGAAGAAGATAGCAGGAGGGGAAGAATGAAGGGGAGTAAGTCGGACGGGGAGACGAACTATGAGACGATGGACTCTGAAAAACAAACTGAGGGTTCTAGAGGGGAGGGGGGTGGGGGGATGGGTTAGCCTGTTGATGGGTATTAAAGAGGGCACATTCTGCGTGGAGCACTGGGTGTTATGCACAAACAATGAATCATGGAACACTACATCAAAAACTAATGATGTAATGTATGGTGATTAACACAACAATAAAAAATTATTTAAAAAAATAAATAAAATAAAATAAAAATAAAAAAAATAACATGATGTTGGGGAGATATTTGAAAGAAGTGAAGGAGTGGTTATGAAGCTACCTGGAGAAGAGTGTTACATGAAGAGAGGAGAGCAAAGGCAGAGTTCCTGAGGGGAACTGTGAAGGTCAAGGGTCCACCCTGGCAACAGCCTAGTGTGTAATGGGAACATGACTGGAGATGGGGGCGGGCAGCTTGGACAGGGGCTGGTAGGGCATCATGGACTCCCCTTGGCTTTCCTTGAGATCAGCAGGCACTGACAGGTTTGAAGAGTAATGGGATCCCTCACTGCTCTGAGGGGAAGAGGCTGAGGTGTGCACGGGAGGGAGCAGGGAGACCAGAGTTAGGAGACTATAGCAATAATCCAGGTGAGTAGACACTGACATGGACCAAGGTGGTACCTTGGAGGTGGTGGGGAGTGACTGGATTCCGGGTCTGTTGTGAACATAGAGATAAGATGTGGAGTGTGACTGGGACATGAGGTATGAGGGAAAAGAAGATCAAGAATCATTCCAGGAATTTTGACGTATGTGGTGGACAGTTTCTAAAATGGCTCCCGGGGCACCTCGGTGGCTCAGTCGTTAAGCATCTGCCTTTGGCTCAGGTCATGATCCCAGGGTCCTGGGATCGAGCCCCGCATCAGGCTCCCTGCTTCTCCCTCTCCCTCTGCCCTTGCTTGTGTTCCCTTTCTCGCTGTGTCTCTCTGTCAAATAAATAAACAAAATCTTTAAAAATAAAAAAAAATTTTTCAAAGAACTTTGGTTACTTTTTTCAATATAAAATGGGTGGAAATCAAAAACTGTTCTCCACAAGTCACTTGTTTATCACATTCAACAGCCTTACCTCTACATTCTACTGCCTTGGCTTTGAGCTTAAAAAACCCACCCAGGAACTCAACCACCTCTTTGTTCTCACCTGTGCCACCTTCGCCCTTACTAATGGTGCCTGAGTCTCACGGGCTAATCCTCAGGGGGGCTTGAGGGAATGTTCTGTATATATGTTGCGTGGAAATTTTTGGTGGGGTCTTCTGTGTTAATACCCCAAGATTTATCCCACCCCACAGACACAAGGCTTACCCCCTTTCCTTTCTGTGATACCTACCAGGAGAACTAGGCACCAAAGTAGAGACCCAAGAAGTCTGTCTTTTTGTTCCCTGATAACATCCACGCAGGGGAGCTTCCAGCACTAAGAGGAGAGCCCAGCCCTGACCAAAGGGGGTCAAGAATGAAGTAGCTGTGAAGCCATCACTGACAGTGAGTGTCAGGCTCCAAGGGGTTCCAGGGATGGAGGAGCCCAAGAAGGAACAAAGGGAGGAGAAAGCAGCTCTAAGATACCAGAGAAGCGACGTCAGGATCCTGTGGCTCTAGTGTTTCTGGGAAGAACCAGACCAGAGGCCGACACCTGGGGTCACAGCACACATACTTACCATGAATCCACCATTCCCTCCTGAGGTTAAAAACACCTGTTGGGTATTCTCTACAGGAGACAGAGCAGACTCAACCCCCACTCTCTCTGAGGCATATGCTCTAGTGGGCAAGACAAACAGTGAAAATAAATACATGATTACAAATTCTGACAGGTAATTAAGGGTGCCCTGGGTTTATCTATAATGAAGAGGAGAAGTGGGTGGACATCCCCAGTACACAGAACAGAGGGAGGAGTATGGGGCCTGAGTCACGGTGAAAAGCCAGTGCAGCTGAGCCCAAACATGAGGGAAGAGCTAGAAGGTGAGTCTGACAGAGCAGTTAGATCAGTCAGGCACATGAGGAAAATCCCATATGACCATAAGAGCCCTAAGAAGCCATTTAAAGAGAATGACAAGATCAGAAGTCTCTTTTAAAAATGTGCTACGGTGAGCGCTGTGAATTGTGCAAGACTGTTGAATCACAGATCTGTACTTCTGAAACAAATAACGCAACATATTTTAAGAAAAAAGGAAAAGAAGAAGATAACAGGAGAGGAAGAAAAGGGGAGTATGTCAGAGGGGGAGACGAACCATGAGAGATGATGGACTCTGAAAAACAAACTGAGGGTTCTAGAGGGTAGGGGGGTGGGGGGATGGGTTAGCCTGGTGATGGGTATTGAGGAGGGCACGTTTTGCATGGTGCACTGGGTGTTATGAACAAACAATGAATCATGGAACACTGCATCAAAAACTAATGATGTAATATATGGTGATTAACATAACAATAAAAAAATTAAAAAAAAAATCGCACTCTGGCCCCAGTATGATGAGAAGACTGCATGCAACAGAGGAAAAGAGGGGGAGGCGAACTGACAGGCTAGCCAAGCAGATGTGACAGTGGAGAGACAGACACAGGTGGATTTAAGATGTATTTAGATGAGGGGTGCCTGGATGGCTCGGTCGTTAAGCGTCTGCCTTTGGCTCAGGTCATGATCCCAGGGTCCTGGGATCAAGCTCCGCATCAGGCTCCCTGCTCCGCGGGAAGCCTGCTTCTCCCTCTCCCACTCCCCCTGCTGTGTTCCCTCTCTTGCTGTGTCTCTCTCTGTCAAATAAATAAATAAAATCTTAAAAAAAAAAAAAAAAGATGTGTTTAGATGAAAGGATGTCAGGGGGAGAAGGGGGGGTCATCAAAAATGACACCAATGTCTCTGGCTGGACTAAGTGGCTCACTGGGGGTGTCAGACGCTGAAATGGGGACACAGACGGAGAGCCTGATGGGGAGATGAGTGATGAGAACGGTTTGCAGATGCTAAGCAGACAGTACGATAGATGGGCACATAGATGACTTGGCCATGATCATGCAGGGACCAGGTGGGTCCAGTATTCCAACCAAGGTCCTTTGGGCCCCTAAGCCTGTCTCCTAAGGCCAGGTTCAATGGTCCTTGCCAGCAAGGACCAAGGCCAGGAAAAGAGGTAGACACTAATGAGTGGGGAGGGGGACAAGGTTGCCAAGGGCAGTGTTGGAGTCACTCCTGCTGTGTAACAAAACACCCCAAAACTTAGGGTTAGTAAACAACCATTTCATTATTTTTTTAAATATTTATTTATTTGACAGAGAGCACGAGCCGGGGGAGAGACAGAGGGAGAGAGAAAGGGAGAAGAAGGCTCTCTGCTGAGCAGGGAGCCCAAAGTGGGGCTCGATCCCAGGACCCTGAGATCACAACTGGAGCCAAAGGCACATGCGTAACCAACTGAGCCATTTAGGCGCTCCAACAACCATTTCATTATGATCAGTGATACTGCGATCAGAAATTGAGACAGAGCACAAGAATGGCTTGTCTCCTCTGTATGATGTCTGGGGCCTCAGCTAGGGGTGACAACTTCTAGAGTCTGGAACCATCCAGATGCTTCTTCATTTTACATGTCTAATGCTTGATGCTGGCTCCTGGCTGGACCCTTCACTGGGCTTTCAGCTAGAACTCCTACGTGTATTCCTACGGTGTGGTCTCTGTGTGTATGCTAGTTTGGGCTTCCTCCGAGCCTGGTGGCAAGATTCCAAAAAGGAGCATCCCAAGAGAGCAAAGGTCGAAGTACAGGGAAGTTTTATGGTCTAGCCTTGGAAGTGACGTCACATCATGTGTTACCACAAGCCTGCCCAGGGGGAAGGAATATTTACCCACTTCTCAATGGGAGGCGTGTTAAAGAGCATGAGGAAGGATATTGTTTGCAGTCAGCTCTGGAAAATACAATCTGTCACCACTGAAAGGAGAAAGTGGGTTGGAATAATGGAACCACAGGGAACACTCTGCCTTGTGAAGGGTCCCAGAGTTAAGCTCTCTCAGGGAGGAAAAAATAAAAAGCTAGAATAATAACAGCATCTCAAGGGAAGAGGAAACATGTTCTACCACAGGACAATCTAAACCCATCTCTGACTCCCTCTTCGGTTCGGCTACTTCGCATCGCCAACATACAGTCAGCTGCTGGGATGGAGGCAAGGGCCGGGAACAGTGGGGAAACTAAGTCACAGAAGGCAGGGTCCCACAGAAGGGAAGAGCCCACAGCTTCTCAGGCGCTGGACGCCATCTTGTGTGCTGGCTCTTGCTGTTCAGGTGAAGAGGGGGTGCATTTTTGATGTGGTGGTTTCTCCTCCGCAAGCACTCCCTCTGCCCAGAGCTGGCCCCAGAGCCGGAGAAACAGAAGAGGCACCCCTCTTCCTCCTCCTAGGTGTGGGGTGTGTTGTCCCTGCAGGATGAACATGCTAACGTCCCTTCTCCACGCAGGCCCCCTCCACCCTCTAAAACAGGAGTCATCCCGCCCCTCCAAAGTTCTTGGCTCACTGGAAGCCCCCTCCCCCTGAAAGTGCACTCTCAAAGCCAGGGGCGCCCGTCAGACGTGGCTCATTTTTACCACTGACCCCTCTGGAGTGGGGAAAACAGCCCCCCGCCCCGGTCCTATTCCCAGGAGCCTTCCTCCCAGACAGCTGGGCAGTTGCCTGAGCCCAGCGTGTTGCACTGTTCCCAAACACGGAACACACCCTCCACTCTGTCGGACCCTGTACCTTTGCGCGCCGGGATGAGCAAGGGCCAGCGGGGCCTCTGACCTGGAGTCAGGGGGCCCAGGGACACAGCCCCGGCCTTAAGGGGGCCTCCCGCAACCTTCCGGGGAATCTTGGGAGCCTTCTCTCGGTCATTTCGTAACTGGGTCTGATTCCTATTTCACAAACCAGAAGCGGAAACTGTGAAAACCCCACAGCTCGTTCCACCGGTCCCACAGTCACTTCCTCTTCCGTGGGGGACACCAGGCTTCCCCTCGCATTGGAGAGTGGAGTCCCCGAGAGCTCTCCGGGGCAACATTCAGACAGAGCAGGCTCCAGGCCACCACGATGCCCGCACCTGCCTCCCCACCCCGCCTGCCTCGGCCATCCCTGCTGCTGCCTCTGCTGCTGGGCCTCACAGGTGAGTGCCGCTCTCGGGGAGCACGGTGCAAGGATGCTCACCTGAGTATGGCGGCTGAGGTACGGCTTTCCCCATTGGCAGTGGGACGGATGGATCTCGGTTCTAGGCCCTCTTTCTTCCCCGTGGCTTCCTCTTGAAGACATTTCTCTAAATGTTTTCTTTTACAACAAGGCCCTCCCAAACAAATGCCCCCATAAAGCTTATTAGTCAGAGGGCTCCTTTCCTCTCCCGCTCAGATCCAGACAGGATTAACCCCACCAGGCATTTCTCAGTGACAGGGTGTTCCGAGCCCTGCCTCACTTCCCACACCCCTGTCACCCTGTGAAGCCTCCATGACCCCCTGTGGCTTGACCTGCAGGACCTGGGGCCACCCTGAGGGAGGAGATGGGGGTGCAGCGTCTGACTCCTGCTGAAAACCCTAGAACCTGGGAGTCAGAGCCGCCCTAATTAAGATGGAGATGATGATAGGTAGGTAGATAGGTAGATCACAAGTACTCCACATGCCATGCAGAGCGATTAGAAAACTGGAAAGTGGTACTTTGTAGACCATTAAGTCTCCCAAAAATCTCAGCATTCTAAAATCATAGTCTTTATTATTATTTATTATTATTATTATTATTATTATTATTATTATTTTATTCTTGATTGGGAGGTAGTCCTGCCTGTCTGCTCCCTTTTCCCCAGAGCTGACCCCAAACCCCGCAGACAGGTGAAGTGCCCCTTCTCCTCCCCAGCGGGTTGACATCTCAGTTGAGAGGCTGTCCAGGAAAGCGGTTAAAAGCACAGATATTTTTTGAAACAGATCTGCCAGAGTTCAAATCCAAGTTCATCGTTTATACCCGATGAACTATTTGGCTTAGAACAAATTATGAATTTCTCTCTACCTCCATTTTCTTGTCTGGAAACAGAGATGAATAAGTGCTTAAGTCTTTAAGTGCTTAGAGTGATGTCTGGTACACAGACTTGTCTATGGAAACTCCCTGTCGAATCTTGCTAGGATTTAGTGAATGCAAATACGAACACCTAAAAAATGGTCCTCCTGATTCTGGCCATTACAGCACTCACTGCATGTCCTTGACAACCAATGTCTTCCTTGAAAATTCACAGCACTGATGGGGAAAGGCTTGATCCATCCTGCTTGACAGAGGAAACCACGGAAAGCAGAAGAGGGAGGGAGGGGCTTCCCCCAAACAGCAGCAGGCTTGTGGGAGCTGGAGTTGGGCCTTGAGCCCACATCAGCCTGACTCCAGGTCCACACATTCCAGGCCCTTCAGGCACAATCCTGAGTGTTTTTCAATGGCTTCCAGTTTCAGTCTCACAACAAAGCCATAAGAGAAGTCCCCTGGGCCAGGCAAGGGACACGTGGAGCTGACTTGTGTTTCCCTCCAGGTGTGGCAGGTGAGCCGGAGCTGCAGGTGATCCAGCCTGAGAAGTCAATGGCTGTCGCAGCAGGACAGACAGCCACTCTGCGCTGCACCCTGACCTCCCTGCTCCCCAGTGGGCCGGTTGAGTGGTTCAGGGGAACAGGGCCAGCCCGGCAGTTAATCTTCAGTTTCAGAGGAGGCTCCTACCCCCGAGTGACAAATGTTGCAGACACCACAAAGAGAAACAGCACGGACTTTTCCATCCGCATCAGTAACATCACCCCAGCAGATGCTGGTACCTACTACTGTGTGAAGTTCCAGAAAGGGACCCCTGACGTGGAGTTTAAGTCTGGACCAGGCACCAGGATGTTTGTACATGGTAAGTCCGGATTCCTGAAAACCCAGCCTGGTTGTTCTAAAGACAGATCACAAGCTCCAGGCTCTCAGCCCAAGGCTCCCCCTTTGTCAGCCTTTGTGTTAAAGTTGAGGATAGAAGGTGGGGATAGTGAGAAATCACAGCACGGGAGCAGAGTGAAATATAATCCCAGGGCTCCTAGCAAGAGAGTTAGAATCTTACATTTTCAAAGGCCACAAAATAGACCGGAAAGCAGAGTGAGTAAAATTACAGGCACCAGGGCCAAATGGCCTGGATTCAACTTCTAACTCTGCCATTTTCAAGCTGTGTGACTTTAGTGACTTCCTTAAATTCTCTGTAGAGAATTTAAATTTCCTCATCTGTAAGATAGGAATAATAATTGTACTCACCTCGTAGATTTGTTATGAGGAGAACAAACGTAAATGAGTTTATACATATAAAACACTTAGAAGAGCACCTGTAACCTAATTATTGTATTAGTGTATATTGTCACTATTCAGGATATTAAAACCAATTAGACCTAAAAACATAATCTTAAAGGCATGAAACCATAGATTCACAGAAACAAGGAATGAAAGAATTATTGAGGCAGAAAATTATAAAAATCACATCTGGGGATGTGGAATATATAATCCTTATATTTCTCAAAATTTGCCCTTGATTCTTTAAGACCTGTATATTTTTGGATTTGGTCCTGGCTGATAGAATCATGGCTGAAGACAAAGCCCACAAAGACTCTAAATAGCATCCATACAGGAGAGCATGGGAAGCAGAGCAGTTAGTTCGGGCCTGTTCATATTGATGACTTAATGATCATGTTGTTTTCTCTGTAAAAAAATTAATGTGATAACTTACTCTAACAGAACAGAATAGAAACATACATCAACAGAATTTTTTAATTAAAATGTTAGCGCCTCCGGGCCTCAGAAAAGCGAAGGGAACTGGTAGGCAGTCTTCTGAGACAAAGAGAAGGTCATATGATTTTCAAGAATTGAAAATAAAAAGCAAGTTATATGAGAACCATTTGAATGAGATCAGCATGAGATGTATACAGGCAGCATTAGAGGCTAGAAGACAAGGAGTGGTGCCTTCAAAATTCTTAAGGAAAATGATGTCCAACTTAAAATTCTAGATCCAGCCAATCTGTTGAATTTGTGACATCACCAAGAGCTACCTTTCAATGTAACCTTTCTGTTTTACCAAGATAAAAGTTAAACAAAGAAAAGTAAGAATGGGAACCAGAAAAGGGGACTGGAGATTCCAAGATAAGAGCTGTGCAGGAGGCATAGGAATAGCCACTAGGCCATTCCAGAACAGGAGGACTGAGGGCTTTAAGAAGGCATCTCAAAAAGATTGAATCACTAGAACATTAGTCTTCAAACTCATGCCTACCATTTCTAATATTATTTAAGGTTATATTGAAATATTAGCCAATGCTTTCAGAAAGGAGAAAATAGAAAGCATACAAATTATAAAGGAAGTAGAAAAACTATCTCTCTTTGTAGATGATATGGTATCTGGAAAACTTAACGGACTCAAGGTTAAACTATTACAAACTATAAGATACTTTAGTAATGTGGCAAGTTATAAAATCAATAAACAGAAAGCAATGAACTTCTTATAAGCAAACAAAAACCAGTTAGAAGATATAATGGAGTAGATGACCACATATACAATAGCAAATTTAATACTTTGGGCACCTTCTATCAAAACAGTGATAAGGACTGGATTTACTTGCCCACGAAAAATCTGGGCAAACTACATGGAACAATGGTTGACAAGACATTGGACAATAGGCAACAAAGGACAGTAATCCCTGAGAGATGAGAGACAAATGACATGGAACCCAAGGTTGCCTCCAGCTTACTCTCGGAGAAAGCTTCCATGCCACCATGCAGTAGGAGAGAACTCAGATGGAGCATGGAGGCCTCCTCAAGTTGAAAGAAGGAGCTAGAAGTCTAAGGAGGGCAAAGTGGCTGGAGTTTTCAGAGGAGAGCACCAAAGATGAGAAAGCTACACAGAGAGAGAACTCCAAAGATCTTGAGTATTTAGCTGAGTACTGAAGAGTATGTTCATGAGGATATACATGTACACGAGTATATGTACATGGCCTCAAGAGAAAATATCCCTGGAGCTCACACAAGGCCAAGAACGGTGCCTGTTCCCACCAACCTGAGCAAAAAAACTCATAATTCATGGAGCATCTGGTACAGTATGCAGAAGGGTTCTGCCTCAGTAAGAGGTAAAAAGGGAAAAAAAAATAGCCCTAGACCAAATGATGCTATGGTCCTGCATCACAAAGCTTAAATACAACACATGAAAACATCAAACTGTTTCCAGGTAATTTAACCAGGTCCCAAAACAAGTTCAAGCATATTTATAGGATCACAAAATATCCAACACTAAACAAAGTAAAATTCACAACTTCTGGCCTGCAATAAAAAACTACCAAGCTGACAGATAATAACTACAGTTATCGTGGTGAGCACAGAATAACATATAGAATTGTAGGATCACTGTGTTATACACCTGAAACTAATATAGCACTATATTTCAACTATATTTCAATAAAATTTTTAAAATTACCAAGCATGAAAGAAGCAGGAAAACACAATTTATACTGTGAATCAATCATCTGAAACCTAACCAGAAAAGACAGATGACAGGATTAGTACACAAGGACAGTAAAGTTAGTATAACTACACTATATGGTCAAATAGAGGAAAGAGTGAATGTGTGAAGTAGAAGCATGAAAAATATTCTCAAAGATCCGTGTTGAACTTTTAGAGATGAAAACTGCAATGTCTATGATGAAAATGTAGACTGGATGGGATTCATGGCAGTTAAGACACTGAAAAAAATTCAAGAACTTAATATACAGCAACAGAAACTATCCAAAATTATACACAAAAATGTAAAAGACTGAGAAAAGATAAACAGAGCATCAGTCAGCTATGGGAAAACCTCAAGTGGCCTACTACATATGTATTAGAGACTCTAAAGGAAGAAGGGGACAGAAAGAGTATTTGAAGAAATAATGGTTGTATTTTTCCAAATATGATGAAAACTATGAACCTATGGATCCAAAAATCTCAGTGAACCCCAGGCACAAGAAACATGAAGGAAACTACACCAAAGTGTATCATATTCCAATTGCATAAAATCAGTAATAAAGAAAAGATCTTAAAAACAACCAGAAGAAAAGGGAAATATTCGATACAAAGGAAGATAAATTTGACAGCAGATTTCCCATTGAAAAATTATGTAAGCCAAAAGATAGTGGAGAAACATCTTCAAAGCATTTTTAAATGAGATAATATAACAATCCTAAATGTTTATTCACCCAATAGGAGAGCTTTAAAATACATGACACAAAAACTCATAAAATAGTAAGGATGGAGAGAGAAGTCCACAGCTATAGTTTCAAGTTTCAACACTCCTCTTTCAATAACTGGTAAGACAAGTAGGCAGAACATCACTAAGTATGTAGAAGACTGAACGGCATTATAAAACAATCTGAGTTAACTGACATTTATAGAACACTCCATCCCAAAACAGCAGAGTACACATTCTTTGTGTAAAAACACATTCTTTTCAAATGCAAAGGGAACACTTACCAAGATGCATCATATCCTGGGCTATAAATTGTCTCAGTAAATTTAAAATAGGTCAAGTCATACAAAATGTGTTCTTATTGGAATTATATTGATAATAACAAAATGATGTCTGGAAAATCCCCAGATAGTTGGAAACAAAAGGATACACTTTTGAATAACATGTTATCAAAGAAGAAGTAAAAGGGAAATGAGAGAATATTCTAAACTGAATGAACATGAAAGCACAACATACCAAATTTGTGGATGCAGCCAAAACAGTGCTTAGGGGGAAATTTATAGCACTAAAATGCCTATATTAGGACAGAAGAGAAGTTTCAACTCAGTGACCTTAAAAATTAGAACAAGAAGAACGAGTGAAACCCAAAGTAACCAGAAGAAAGGAAATAATAACAGAGCAGAAATCAAAAATAGAAAATGGAAAACTAGGAGAAAACCAATAAAACTGAAAGCTGGTTCTTTGAGAAAATCAGCAAAATTTATAAACTCTTAGCCACACAGTCAGTCAAGAAAAAAGAGAGAGTACACAAATTACCAATATCAAGACTGAGAGATGGGGTGCTAGGCTGGCTCAGTTGGAAGAGCATGCGACGGTTGATCTCAGGGTCATGACATTAAGCCCCACCTTGGGTGTGTAGAGATTACTAAATAAATAAATAAATAAATAAATAAATAAATAAATAAATAAATAAATAAACTTAAAAAAAAAGAATGAGAGAGGTAACATCCCTATCTCTTTAATGCATATATTAAAAAGATTATAAGGAAACTATGAAAAATTTTATACCTATAAACTCAACAACTTAGATGAAATGCACAAATTCTTCAGAAGACACGGGCTACTAAAGCTCACTCCAGAAGAAGTCAATAGCCTGATTATTTCTATATTTATTAAAGAAATTGAATTTGGGGGCACCTGGGTGGCTCAGTCGTTAAGCGTCTGCCTTCGGCTCAGGTCATGATCCCAGGGTCCTGGGATCGAGCCCCGCATCGGGCTCCCTGCTCAGCAGGAAAGCCTGCTTCTCCCTCTCCCACTCCCCCTGCTCATGTTCCTGCTCTCGCTGTGTCTCTCTGTCAAATAAATAAATAAAAATCTTAAAAAAAAAAGAAAGAAATTGAATTTGTAGTTTAAAAAGCCTCCCACAAACAACAGCCCAGGCCCAGATGACTTCACTGAGGAACTCTATCAAACACTGAAGAAAGAAATGCTAACAATTCTACACAAATTCTTCCAGAAAATTGGAGAGAGAGTGATGCTTCCCAATCAATCCTTAAAACCAGCATTACTGTGATACTAAAGCCAAATAAAGAAAACTTGAAGCCAATATCCCTCATGAACATAGAATTATTATAAAGCTACAAAGATCATTCACTGTAATATTGGCATCA